AGCACACGGAGAATTTGCTTGCTAATAGGGATATTCCTTACGAGAGGGTATAGCAGGTTGGTTTATGTCTGATGAACCCCGTTTGCTCTTCCAGAACGAAATGACATCCACGATGCAGAGTCAGGATTAGAAGCAAAGGAGGTTTTTATCCATTATGGCACACTCCTTCCTGTAGCTGAGGAAGTCCAGCAGGTGCACCCAGCAACCCACTGCCCTGCCACACAGATGCCTCCCTGCTGGGGCCAGCCCTGGTTTCACTTTGTCCCGAGTTCTTCTGCCACCGCAGCAAACCTGTCTGAAAGTATTTGCTACATGCTTACTGCCTGCTCCGGGCTTGCCTTGGTTTCATGCACTGGAAAGCAGGAAGAGCCAAGCTTCCTCTTGACTTCAGAACCAGAACCAAAACTCGATTAAAATGTTGCTGCTTGAAATTTAAAGTGTTGTTTTCAGTGACATGATTATGTGACCTACCTTTGTTTGTTATAAATCTAATACCGTAAGTTACAGTTCAATGAATTCATATTCTATTTGAATTTTTTTTTTTTTTTTTTTGTCTGAAGTAGCCTAAAGCTCTTTGAGAAACAATTGCACAAAACCGTATGAGAGCTGCTAATTTATAATCTGCAGCATCGCAGCACAACTAGTTTTTCATTTGGTTAAAAGGAAATGGTTACTTAGAACAACAAAGCAAACCATGTGTCCATAGTTTATATTAAATGCCCTTGGTATTTATTAGGGATACACAATATATCATCTTGAAAACATTTATTTTCCTGTAATTTCATCAACAGCAAAACAAAATAGAAAGTAATACAGTGTCACTCCTTTGCCAAACTGTAGCAGATTTGGGACAGTTTCCCATTGGAGGAAAATTTGAGATCCAAAGTCTGGGCATTAGCTTAGTGTAACTTGTTTGTTTGGATGTGTACACCAGCCCCAACACAGAGGTGCCATCAGAGAACACACAGAGGACTTTGCACCAGGAATCTCTCTCCAGCTGCCAACATCTGGTTTTGCTATGTTCAGCCCTTGGGCTTCAGGGAACTTCTTCCCTGTTTGTACACATCTTCCATTGAATTCAAGGAGTATTTCGTCTGGCTGAAAGACAGAGCCAAAGAAACCTGTGGAAACAAGCTGCTAATCTGTCTTGAGAGAACCCCAAATATCTGATAGAAGGTATTTGATTTTCTCTGCAGTCAACACAGCATTTAATCTGAACAGTCTCTGGTCCTGGCAGCAGTGGATGAAGTTTTGATCAGTTGAACCCAACGGCAAACTCCCATTCATTTCTAGAGATTGAGGATTCAACCTATGAAGCCAGTCCTAGATGTTCCAGTGCAGAACAATGTTATGGGCTGATTAGCACTAAAATGCCTCCCAGTGCTTGCTAATTGCTCGTATAGCCCGCAGCCTCTGTGAAGACTGAGGCAGATTAATCACAAAACACAGCTCATTACACCTGCTATTTTCCACATTCATTTCTGCTTCTTTTTCCCATTCCTATGGAGTCCATGCTGGAAGGAGAAAGTGGCAGCAGAGGATAATGGTGGCAGTCAATACTAGCACAGTGTCATGCCTCGAGCTGAAGAGGGGAAAATGGGAAGTAATTTTGATGTAGTAATAAATATCTGTGGCATGAAAACCTCAGAAAGGATTTTCAACTGGAGCAGATGTGCTCGGGACAGATGGCTAATGGTCAGCAGAGCTTTTTGGGCTCAAGAGGAAAGTTGATTCTATCCTAATTTTTTTTTTCCCGGGCAAAGGAAAACATGACAGCGTTTCACCATTAGCAGTTATGGAAACTGCAGCTTCAGGGGGGCACTTAGATCCACATACATGGAGTTGTAAGGCCAAGTGCTGGAACTAGCAAGTACCCCTGCAATGAAAGGTTGCTCCACTGGCTGCACAGCACCATCCCCTGCAACGAACTGACAGTGAGCAGCACAGAAATACTGATCTCAGAAAGAGATCATGGTTGGGTTATTGCAACTTGTAGTTTTCCTCTCTGACAGTCCTCTGCAAGAGCTTATTTTCAGTTTCATAGTTATGGTGAGAAACGTGGGGTGTTTTGATTCCTAATTTAGACTGTTTATCCTGAGAGATTCCAGGATCTTCATTTGAAAGATAAATTCAAACCTTGTTTTTCCTTTGCAGAGTGCATTCCGTAACAAAAACATTGCATGCCATACTCTGCTACAAGGGCTTGGAAGACCTTCATAACCATAAATTTAGGAACTTGTGGAGCAGAATGGACTTTGGGATGGAAACAAGCCAGCTGGCCTATCTGGTCAGGTCCATCCCTTCTGTTTGAATTAACAGCTGGATTTCACAGTGGGAGAAATCCTGCAGTTCTTTCTCAGGCAAAATTCTCACAGTTGGATCTGCCTCCAACTATTGTAATAGGGTGGGAGGGAGCACAGCTTACTTTGTTATTTTATGTTAGCTCTCTGGGTAAAAAAATTCCAATGTTCAGTAGGGCTTGGACCTACCCAGATCTTTAATTTAATGACCTGACGTGCGATGTGAAGGACGTTCCCAGTACAAGAGAGACAGAGGGTATGCAGGAGGCTCTTTGTGCCTTGCAGTGCAAACAGCAGCCATGTTCTGGAGAAAGAAGTTGGATGCTGAGGCAGAATAAGGAGGAAGGACCATTTGCTGCTTGAAGGATGCTGCCTTGGAGATGACACATTTTGGCAGACTGTGCATGTAGAGGATGTTGGGTACGAAATGCAGTGTTCATTTTCACACTTGCTGTTTCAATTCCAAAAGTAATTGAACCAAAGTTCAAAGCCTTCCTTTAAAAGGATAAATAAATACCTGGGGTCCCTCAGTGAGGCTGAACTTAGCTTATACCCAGACAGAAAACTCTCACCTTTCATGGTGGTATTAGGGTATTCATGACCCTAAAAGCACAGGACAAGAGGCTTGCTTTCCCCCTTCCAGGCAGCTTCAGCCTTGAGACAGCCAGCATCAGCCCCCGAAGGAAGCACATCTTTTAGAGTTAGGAAATCCAAGACTCCTGAGTTTCCATTTGCAGCTAAGAAGACCCCTGAAAATGAGGAGTTCAGTCCCACACCACAACCACTGCTCATGTTGTCTGCTGTGCACAACCATCCCAGTGATGGCATCAGTGGTGTGCAGACCCCTGCCCTCACCCAGCGAAGAGGGACGTTCCTATCAGATTTTTCTCTGGTGATGGCTGTATAGAAGTTGCTGACAGGCTGTAAATGGAGCTGAAGAAATAGCACCAGGCTCAGAGTGCAGGGATAAAAAGAAAAAAATCCTAGACTTTTTCCCCTCTTCCTCAAGAAAAGGTAATTTACGTAAATTTATCCACGACCGGCATATGGCAATAGCTCACAACTTTGTTAATGGAAACCTGGTGATCCATAACACTTGTGTGGGAGACATTTGCTCGGGGGTAATACAATATTAATGTTAATATCAATGATCGATCAGAGGATTTGCAAGAAAGGCATAAAGTATTTAATTATAATTACATCAGGAATGGCTTTGTAATGGCTACGACATTTGAATAAGGTCACGTCTAGCCCTCACCCCTGTTATGTTGTTCTATATTAAATGCCATTCACTTTAAGTGCTGGAAACCTTTCTGGAGTCGTCAGAATATAATACAGTGGGTAAATTGAAATATGTCCCTTCATTTTTTGAAATATGATTGATATCCTTTGCAAAACAAATGTTAACACCTATTGGTACACAAATTTCTTTGATTATATGTTAGAGAAATTCAAGTAAGACAGTCTCTCCTAGCAGGTACTTTACTGTGAGCACAGGAAATGGCTATTTGTGAATATTAATTCATCTTATTGTAAATGGTTTTGGATCTCTATGGGTACATTTCTGCCTTTCCTAATGCATTTATGCTGCATTGCTTAGCAGCCATAACAGTTCCTCCATTGGGCAGCACTCTGTGCTCCTCTGGGTGAGACGTGTGCTCGGTAGGAACTTTTGCTGTCATTTACCTTTGGCTAAAAGCAGGAACAAAGAACAAATAGTAAGAAACATTTGCACACTTCATGATATAAAGGAGATATTTCAAATGCAGTGCTGATGTCTAGGATAACTATCAGCCAAGCAGCAGCACTGCCACGTTTGAAACAATCCAGGAAAAGAGATGAGTGTAAAGAGTGAATGCATAGCTGAGGGGAGGAAGCACACGTACCACCATGGGAGTGCATGCAGACACTGAAGTACCCATGAGGGCACACTTCCCACACCTCCATACTGCCATGTGTGCCAAGGGAACAACATCTCACCTCTCTTCAGATGACAGTCCATCTGCCTGTGATCCTAGAGATTTTCCAACGTTGGTGAACACAGCGCATGGGCCAGTCTAACCCTACATGCTGTGTGTTCAGATAGCAGCCAAGGTCAAGTGTGGATTCACAGGGGACTGAGAGCTCCCTTTGGAGGCACAGTTTGGTCACAAGAAGTCACGCCTTGGAAGTTCAGAAGACATGCAGCAATGAGACTTTGACACGATTTCCCCTTTGGCCTTTTTTTGAAGAAGCAAAGACTTTGGTGTGCCACGGCAATGGCTGAAGGCAGCAAGTTGTCTGCTTTTCCAAAAAACAAAAAAACAAAAAGCAAAAAACAACCAAGCATTTATTACCAATCGGTGTGAAATACTGCAGGTGGTGAATTGTGAGCAGGCAGCAGGACTTCCAGCAGCACGGCTACATACATCATGCATTTTTACAACATTTAAGTGCAGTGATATCGCTCCCTTTCTCAATAACAATATATAAGAATTTATAGTATAAATGTACAATATATATTAGACACAATGTAAAATAACTTAGTGAAATGTCGAAGCTTCTGCATAAAAATTCAAGTCATGCCTGAGCATACCTCTGGAACAATTTGCTCAGTCTTATCTCGTATACCTTCATTTTGTTCATGTTGCAAAGATAACTTTATCTCTCTACATAACTGCTGAAAACCACCAGAACCCTTGTCTGCTTTTTTACCTTCCTTAGGCCATGTTTCTGGTTGCCAAAACCAAGGCTTTGTGGCACCTCTGCTGATGCTGCCATTCGGTACCAGGAAATGATTTCATATGGACAAGTTACATAAGAACAAGTTCCTAAATGCCATGCAGAGTTCAGCGTTGTCCTTCAGGATCTGTTCTGAAACATCCCACAGTGTGTAAATGGTGCTGGAATGGTTTTCATTAGGAATGGAGATCAGGAGCTACCGTGGCTCTCTGTGCATAGTTCAGCTCACCAGCCTTCCTGAAATCTCATCAGGTACCACTTTGTCAATTGCTAGCAAGAAGGATCGATAGAAATCTTTTTAGTAGGAATATACAACTTGTCTCAGAGCAGATAGGTGGGATTCTGGCTGTGGCTGACACAGAATGCAGCTTCTTGCAACCCCAGGTCTCCCTTCGTACTTGCTAGACAAAATGTGGCGAAGGGCTTTCCTGCAGCATCTGGAGACATTTGCTGGTAGTATGAGGGAGAGGGGAATTTCTGTTTTTAAATCAAGGCATGAGGAGACCCTATGCCTCTGTCACATCATCTATTGGTGTCTGCCAGTATTCAACAGCCTCACAATCAGCCTTCATGTGCTTAGCCTGAACACAGCTTCTGCACTTCGAACAATTCTGCTCTGAACATCAACAAAAATATGCCTTAAACACATATTAATAGCTATATTTACGAAATAACAATGGATTAAAGCTGCATAGTGCACAACAGTTTGGGATGTGATGATAAAATCAAAATTAAGAGAAGACAGACTGATTTCCTGTGATTCATTTTAAGAAAACAAATGCTCACCCCCACCCCATTACATTCTTAGCCAGTGTAGATCAACAGAATTACGCCGTTGCAGATCTGCTCAAGAGCTGAGCCGTAAATTTCAGAGGAATTAACTCAAATTTCCACCAGTGAAAGTGGAATCAAATTCACTTTGTCTCTAAGAAAGCACTGGGTGTGGAGTGAGTCTGTTCTGTCAGATCCTGCTTGGAAAAGGAAACTCTCTGTGGTGGTGGATGGTGTCTGTGATAGTTCAGAAAACGTCAGGGTACGATGAATTTCAGCGTGGCAAAAACTGATGCTGGTGACAGTTATCTGTACTTCAAGCCCAGCACAGCTCTTTGGGTACAGACAGAGAAGGGAAAACACCTTCTGAATGTTGTTCAGGAGGAGGAGGCGGACAGCTGATGGCAGTGATGTCAGCCTGCACTGCAACCCAGGCTTTGTTACTGTGGATAAATAACTTCACATTGTCCAGAGCTGGAGATTGATCTGCTGGGCCTCCAGTAGGTGATATTTGTTTTCTTGCATATTATATTGAGATCTCAGGACAGGCAAAGGGTCGGGGGCTGAAAGAATGTAATCGATGCTGAATTTTATTTCAGAATCCGATTTTGCTAAGGAGGAACTGCTCAGGCTCTGCCTGCTGGCTGTGCTGTTTGGAGCAAACCCACGGGGCTCCAGTAGTCTTGGTTCTGAGCCAATTCTTTCATGTATGCTTTCAGAAGAGGAAGTGCTGTTTAAAGCAGAGTCCGTAGGAGATGTATCAGGGGACGAAGACCCTTTCCCTCTGCTTGATCTTTGCTCTTTATGTTCCTTTTTCATGTTCCTCCTCCTCCGCCTTCTCCGGTAATTCCCATTTTCAAAGAGATCCAGCATGGATTCGCATCCCGTTGCAAAGCTCCAATAGTTTCCTTTCCCCTTCTCATTCCCTTCTGTTCTGGGAACCTGTATTTATTTAAAGGCAGTTCAGTATTTGTATGTGTTACAGATGTTGCTGCTAAACATCTGCATTCATTTACATTCAAGAATGGTGTAAACACATATGACAAGACTTCTAAACCTATTCTGTTTCATTATATGACTAGGATGCAAGCTCCAGCCTCTTCTGTTTGTTATCTATTAGCAGGCATCAGACGGGGATATACTCTTTATCTCTGCAATTGACAGCTTAGGGAGATTTAAGTGATTTGTGGCTCAGCCGTTCGTTTTCCTTCCTTCCTAGTGATGGGACTATTCCTGAATAATTTTTTTAGCCATGCACACGTTTTGTATGTAAATGCACAGTTACGGGTCTTACCTTTACAAAACAACTGTTTAGTGATAAGTTATGCCGGATGGAGTTCTGCCAGGCTCTTTGATTTGATCTGTAGTAAGGAAATTTCTTCATTATGAAGTCATAAATGCCAGACAGGGTGACTTTATTTGAAGGACTTTGCTGGATGGCCATTGCAATTAAGGCAATGTAGCTGGAAAAAAGCAAAACTGCAGTTACACCATCTCCTCACCCCTACACTGTTATTAGGACCACACAGGTATGTGTGTGTTCATGATTCTGCTTCCAAAAGTTCTTCTTTTCTGCACTGTGACCTGAGATGTCCCAGGATGAGTCCTGAGAGCAGTCACTGCAGTAATCAGCTCGAGAAGCAGGCAGCAATTCCAGGCAACTGAGTCCCTGAGGGTTAAAGGAAGATCACCCACCTCCTGAACCCCATCAGAAAAGTTTCTGTGAGACAAAAGGCTGCAGAGAAACCCCTCACCAGAGCCTTGCCTGCTCAAGACATGGACCTCAGCTGCCCCAACAGCACCAACCACACTTCTCCCCACCACACTGGGCACTATCTGCATCCCACTCCCCTGCTGGCATGCTGCACATCTCAATCCCCTTCTCCCAGGGCTCCCGGAGGTCAGTGGAGACCCTTTGAGCTTTGGTGGCTCAGCACTGTGACCCCACAGGAGACAAAACAAACCTTGAGCACTTCAAGCACAGGAAGGGGGAAATGTGCCCACCATGGCCCCAACCCCACCACGCACACCTGGGATGAGGAGCCCCACTGCCCCACACGCTCTGATCTCACCATCCCACAGCTCAGTAACCCTCCCCAGGGCTGGGGGACTTGGGGAAACTTCCTCTTACCTATACGCCGGTCTGGTGAATTTCTTTTCTTCGTCAGAACTACAGGTAGGGTAATCATCACCATCATAATTAAAGCAGTTATAGGGGTACTGCGTGTTGTCAAACATCGTTCTGCTCCTTGCTCAGCTCCTGTGGAGTGAGAGAGATGGAGTGATGTTTCTCAGAGCGTGGGCTCCCTCCTCCCTTCTTCCCTCCCCTCTGTCTGCCTCGTTCCCTCTCTCCCCCCTCCTCACTCTCCCTCTCCTCCACACACACACACACACACACACACACACACACACACACACACACAC